TCCTGATTTTGACCCTTGCCCTTAATCTTTTGAATCATGTTCCACACCTTGGACATGGGTGTGCGGGAGTTGATTTTTGACACATATTTCCTCCATGACCGGCGTTTAGTTTGTTTGAAGGTACGTTTTGCCCTGGCATTTGTCATTTTAACAGCATTCAGGTTATGCACTGTAGGATGTTGTCGGAAATATTTTTCCGCCTTCTTCCTATTTTTCCTAGCTTGTTTGCAGTTTGTATCAAACCATGGTTTGCGTATGTGCGGGTTTGCAGAGGACTTTGGAATGGTTTTGTCTCCGATGGCATTTAGGACGTCTGAAAATAGTTCCATGGGGACAGGAACATTCCTGAAGTTGTCCGGCTTTTTTTCTGAACATGGGGTTTGGAATAAAGGCCAATTGGCCTTAGTAAAATTCCATCTTGTTGATGGTGGTTCATCTGTGGGGTTGATAGGAGTAAGAATTGTTGGGAAGTGGTCGTTTCCACAAAGGTCGTCATGGACCGACCATTCGAACTCATTTAAAAGATTAGAGTCTGTAAGTGATAGATCAAGAGCAGAGTATGATCCAGTGGCAGGATGGAGGTAGGTGTTTGATCCATCGTTGAAGATGCATACATCATTATTTGAGAGAAACTCTTCAAGGACCTTTCCTTTACTATTTGTATCAGTATTCCCCCATAGGGGGTTATGGCCGTTGAAGTCGCCCATGAATATGCAGGGCTTCGGGAGTTGATCATATAAGTTCTGAAGATCTGATAGGCGGACAGTTGAGGTGGGAGGGAGATAGAGGGAACATAATGTAAACCCTATGTTCAGAATTATGCGGACAGCAAAACTTTGTAGGTTGGTGTTAAGTGGAACAGGGCTATGGAGGATGCCCTGCCTCACCAGGATAGAAGTGCCTCCTGTAGCTTTTACGTCGGGAGGAGAAAAGGAGTGGTAGGAACTGTACCGACGGATGTCAAATTTATCAGTCCTTTTTAGGTAGGTTTCTTGGAGACAAAACGCGGATGGTTTGAAGTCTTGAATCAATAACTGTAATTCATTATAATTATTCTTTAGTCCTCTGCAATTCCATTGGATCATGTTTTGTGGATTCATGGTGCTTCCACTGGTGACATGTCTCGTGAACGTGAGAAAGCGTTTGATGAACTCCTATTGGTGTCTGGTGGAGATGGAGTTACCTCCATATCCAGAGGGCCAAAGGAGTTATGGACCTCGATGGGGACCTCTGAGGGAGAGGTGGCCTTTGGTTTTGTGTTTGGCGGTTGTTCGAGTTGCTTTAGTCTCTCTAGCCTCTTTCTTTCCCTTTTTCTGCGCGCAGTTTCTGTCTCTGGCTTTGGCATTTGCTCTGGTGTTTGTCATTCAGAGGTTTTGCCTTTTGGCGTTTGAGATGGAGTTGCTGGGCTTAGTTGCGTTGAGTTGAGTTGGCTGAGAAGACATGATCCATGTCAGGTCGGTCTGACATGAGATGGTTGCAGTAGTGATAGTAGGACGGGAGACAGCAGAAGAGTAGGTGATGGTTGAAGGGGCTGCAGTTAAACTTGCAACCCTCTTCTTTGCTTCGTGAAAGGAGATATTTTCTTTGTGCTTGATCTTTAGTATCTCGGATTCGCGTTTCCACACTGGACAGAACTTGGAAGAGGCCATATGGTTACCATCGAAGTTTGTGCGCTTCACTTCCTTAGTACAGTCGTTGCCTTCATGCTTGTCACCACAGCGGTAACAAACAGCAGAGGAACGACAGGACTTGGATCCGTGTCCAAACTTTTGGCAGTTGTAGCACCGTAGTGGATTGGGGACATACACCTCCACACCAATGCTACAATAACCAGCTTTAATCGAGTCAGGGATGTTTGCTCGCGCGAATGTGAAGAGATAGGTGTTCGTTGGTTGAACAACACCATCCTTTTTGAAGGTGAATCGTTTTACAGCTGTGACGGATTGCTGAGAGAGTTCCTTGACAATTTGTTCTTCAGTCATGTCAGACAGGCATCGAGCTCTGTCCCGTACAATGCCTCTACACGCGTTAAGGTTTTTTTGTGCTGAGACAGCAACCTTGATATTGACAAATTCTTTTATTTTGAGGAGATTCAAGGATTGTTGTTTCCGGGTACATTCTATCAGGAGAGAGCCAGATCGGAGCTTTGTAACATTGGCAACCTCTCCGCAGATACCAGCGATACCTTTGGAGATTGCAAAAGGATTCAATTAGAAAGGTTGCTTGTCACAAGCCTCAATGATCAGGAAGCGTTGCCAGTAGTCAGGTCGGGGGGGCGTGGTCTCGTCAGACGAGGAATTGTCGGTATCCATGTGTCTTCGTTTTGAACCGGGGTATTGGGAAGCCATGTCATTAGTAATGTGGTTCAGCATCCCCTCTCCCCACCCACCTTGGAGTGTCAACAAGGACGATCTTATATTGCAGCGGATCTCCAAGATGCAAAGACCAGGGATAAGGGGGTGTTATACTCCAGCGAATTTGACATGAAATGCTGTAGCTACCTACCAGATTAAAGGTCAGGATGGTTCTGTCCATGACAATCAATTGGAGACGTACAGAAATCGGAGGTCAGCATCACCAGATTGGCCCATGAGCCACCGCCTTCTGTGCAGGGGCCTGCGAGGCTAATTTGTCTTGGTAGGATATTAGTTAACATTTTGAACATGGTCAAAAGTGTTATGTAATACCAAATTTTGTATAGACATTCCATGCATAGGGCAAGGCGTGACGGCAAACGGGTTGCCCAATTTGGTCGCCTCTTACAGCAATGGGGTGCTGTGGACCTATTCGACCCCGGGTCCACACGGGGGCGAAGAGCCATTGACGTTACCCAGCACCCACCACGAGGAGGTTGCTCTTCAAGGGTGCCGAATATGGTTTCAACATCAATATGAGGGCTGAAGGGGAGGGACATATACTGTACTGTACTGTAGAAATTAAGTAGCAAATTAAACTTCGAATGCCATTCACATTCACCGATGGCAAGCCAGATGTAGGGCATATATACGTTTTAGTTTTGCTGAAAGAAGATACTATTGGAAAGGCCACAGACTCTGGTTGAATGTTATACAATTTGGTTACGTGGTAACCAAATTTTGTACAATGTAAATGTGTTTTCAAACTGCAACATCATCACAGTTTGGAACTGATCGGTACACAAAGCCAGCTGACGGTGAGACAACAAGAGGGTTAAAACAGTAGGGTGCTCATCGAGACACACGAACCACACCTATACCTGCACCACGTGAAATGGGTCTAATAGGGTCTAATGACGTCATTTGTTTATCTGTTTGGCACCAAAGACGTCATTTGCAAGGGGCAGACGCCATGGCGCGTTTTATGTGTCCAGTTAATCCATCCATTAATCCATCAGATGATCTGTTTATTTGTATCTGTTCAAATTTGTTTATGGTTAACCTCAGGTTACCTAAATAGATTCAGGGCCAATGTTATTGTTTTAACATACTTGATAGGAAAGCAGGGAAGTATAACACCTTCATCTTGATAAACCAACGCCTATAGTAAGTCTACCGTACTTTCCATGAAAAATCGTCACCTCAATGACAATATCAAACATGTACAGCAGTATTGACGTTGGCAGCGACAGGTGTTCACAAAATGGCATCTTAACCTACATGAATATGCATGGTTTACGAAACGGCTTTTCGTTAATGCTGGGATTGTATGAGCATGAATTTGACATGTAAGTAATTGGAAACATTTTGACAATCTGCGGATTGTTATTTGCTCTTACACGGAAAAATCATAAAATCCGGTAAATAGGATCCGTCAGCTATAAATTCTGTTCTAACAATATGATTACACACTGCGGTTATGAATCTTGGATCAAAAATAATATTCAACAATTAGGGCAAAGAAACTGGAACACCCAAGTGGCTATAAACAAACTTCATGAGATAAAACCTACTTAAGTGGTTAAACGATGATAATGCCAAAAACCCACGGTGACACCATCCACCTATGACACAACCCACTGTGACACCACCCACTGAACTGTGACACCACCCACTGTGACACCACCCACCTGTGACACAACCCACCCACTGTTACACCACCCACTGTGACACCACCCACTGTGACACAACCCAGGGTGACACCATCCAACTGTGACATCACCCACTGTGACACCACCCACTGTACTGTGACACCACCACCTGTGACACCACCCATTGTGACACAACCCACGATGACACTATCCACCTGTGAAGACACCCACTGTGACACCACCCACTGTGACACCACCCACAGTGACATTACCCACAGTACTGTGACATCACCCACTGTACTGTGACGTCATCACCTGTGACACCAACCACTGTACTGTGACACCAACCACTGTACTGTGACGCCACCACCTGTGACACCACCCTCTGTGACACAACCAACGGAGACACTTTGCACCTGTGAAGACACCCACTGTTACACCACCCACTGTGACACCACTCACAGTGACACCACCCTCAGTGACACCACCAACTGTACTGTGACACCACCCACAGTGACACCACCAACGGTGACACTACCCACTGTACTGTGACACCACCCACTCTACTGTGACACCACAAACTGTACTGTGACACCACCCACAGTGACACAACCCAGAGTGACACCACCCACTGTGACACCAGCCACTGTGACACCACCCACAGCGACACCACCCACTGGGACACCACCCACAGTGACACCACCCACTGTACTGTGACACCACCCACTGTACTGTAACACCACCCACATTACTGTGACACCACACACAGTGACACCACCCACTGTGACACCACACACAGTGACACTACCTACAGTGACACTACCCACAGTGACACTACCCACAGTGACACTACCCACAGTGACACCACCCACAGTGACACCACCTACAGTGACACCACCCACTGTGACACAAACCACTGAGACACAACCCACAGTGACACTACCCACTGTGACACAACCCACAGTGACACTAACCACTGTGACACTACCCACAGTGACACTACCCACAGTGACACTACCAACTGTGACACCACCCACAGTGACACTACCCACTGTTACACTACCCACAGTGACACCACCCACATTGACACCGTCCACTATGACACCACCCACTGTGACACTAACCACTGTGACACCACCCACAGTGACACCACCCACAGTGACACCACCCACAGTGACACTACCCACAGTGACACTACCTACAGTGACACCACCCACAGTGACACTACCCACAGTGACACCACCCACAGTGACACTACCTACTGTGACACCACCCACAGTGACACTACCCACTGTGACACGACCCACAGTGACACTACCCACAGTGACACCACCCACTGTGACACCACCCACTGTGACACTAACCACAGTGACACCACCCACAGTGACACCGCCCACTGTACTGTGACGCCACCACCTGTGACACCACCCACTGTACTGCGACACCAACCACTGTACTGTGACACCACCTCCTGTGACACCACCCACTGGGACACAACCCACTGGGACATCACCCACAGTGAAACAACCCACAGTGACACTACCGACAGTGACACCACCTACAGTCACACCACCCACTGTGACACTACCCACTGTGACACAACCCACAGTGACACTACCCACTGTGACACAACCCACTGTGACACTACCCACTGTGACACTACCCACAGTGACACTACCCACAGTGACACCACCCACAGTGACACTACCCACTGTGACACCACCCAGAGTGACACTACCCACTGTGACACTACCCACAGTAACACCACCCACAGTGACATCACCCACTGTGACACCACCCACTGTGACACTAACCACAGTGACACCACCCACAGTGACACCGCCCACTGTACTGTGACGCCACCACCTGTGACACCACCCACTGTACTGTGACACCACCCACTGTACTGTGACACCACCACCTGTGACACCACCCACTGTGACACAACCAACGGAGACACTTTCCATCTGTGAAGACACCCACTGTGACACCACCCACTGTGACACCACCCTCAGTGACACCACCCTCAGTGACACCACCCACTGTACTGTGACACCAGCCACAGTGACACTACGCACTGTACTGTGACACCACAAACTGTACTGTGGCACCACCCAGTGACACCACCCAGAGTGACACCACCCACTGTGACACCATCCACTGTGACACCACCCACAGCGACATCACCCACTGTGACACCACCCACAGTGACATCACCCACAGTGACACCACCCACTGTACTGTGACACCACCCACTGTACTGTGACACCACTCACTTTACTGTGACACCACACACAGTTACAAACACCCACTGTGACACCACCCACAGTGACACTACCTACAGTGCCACTACCCACTGTGACACTACCCACAGTGACACTACCCACAGTGACACCACCCACTGTGACACCACCTACAGTGACACCACCAACTGTGACACGAACCACTGTGACACAACCCACAGTGACACTACCCACTGTGACACAACCCACAGTGACACTACCCACTGTGACACTACCCATTGTGACACTACCGACAGTGACACTACCCACAGTGACACTACCCACAGTGACACCACCCACAGCGACACCACCCACTGTGACACCACCCACTGTGACACCACCCACAGTGACACTACCCACAGCATTGTGACATCACCCACAGTGACACTACCCACTGTGACACCACCCACAGTGACAGTACCCACAGTGACAGTACCCACTGTGACACTACCCACAGTGACACTTCCCACTGTGACACTACCCACAGTGACACTTCCCACTGTGACACTACCCACAGTGACACTACCCACAGTGACACCACCCACAGTGACACTACCCACAGTGACAGTACCCACTGTGACACTATCCACAGTGACACTTTCCACAGTGACACCACCCACAGTGACAATACCCACATTGACACTACCCGCAGTGACACCACCTGTGACACCACCCACTGTACTGTGACACCATCCACTGTACTGTGACACCACCCACTGTACTGTGACACCACCCACTGTACTGTGACACCACCATCTGTGACACCACCCACTGTACTGTGACACCCTCAATCTGCGACACCATCCACTGTGACACCACCCACTGTGACACCATCAAGCTGTGACACATTCCACCTGTTACACCACGCACTGTGACGCCATCAAGCTGTGACACCACCCACTGTGACATCACCCACCTGCGACACCGTCAACCTGTGACACCACGCACTATGACACCACCCACTGTGACACCATCCAACTGTGTGACCATCCTCTGTGTCAATATCCAGCTGTGTGACCATCCTCTGTGACACCATCCAGCTGTGTGACCATCCTCTGTGACACCATCCAACTGTGTGACCATCCTCTGTGACACCATCCCGCTGTGACACCATCCTCTGTGACACCATCTAGCTGTGTGACCATCCTCTGTGACACCATCCAACTGTGTGACCATCCTTTGTGACACCATTCCGCTGTGACACCATCCAGCTGTGACACTATGCAGCTGTGTGACCATCCTCTGTGACACTATCCGTAATAATGGACTATAGTAAGAAGATCCTCCGTTGTTTTGACATTGAAATATTGGTCCCTTGTGATGCAAAACTCGATACAGTCAAGCAGAACATGCTTGACCGTGATTCTTTCATCACAAGGGATACAAAACGGAGGATCCTCACCTTTTGATAAACATTCGTGAATATATCTTTTGTGGCCAATGCGGTGATGTTGCATAATGACCTATTCGAATCTGGACTTAAAGTAGTCTCAACTAGTCTCTGAAATGACCATATTTGACAGAAATGTTCATAGTAAAACAAAATATAATATAATGAATAGGAGCCCTGAGACTTTCTGAAGCTGTGGAAATCTAGACTTGCCTCATTTTCTAGACTTGCGCGGGCTTTCTTGTATATAGTGTCAGACTTCTTTTGCATTAGATCTCGAATGTTTAATAACAGGTGTGTGGTCGCTCTAGGGTATAAGACGTTGTTTGTTTTGAACATATTATATTCATGAGAAAAGTATTGGGTACAAGTTATACAACTAATAACACCCTCTCCTTAGTATTTACATAATATGATTTACATTCATTATACAAGACGGACAGGTCCATGTTTCTGTGTATTTGAGCAACTTTCCGATGTCATTTCCGATGGGTTTTTTTAAAAATGTTTTAATAGCCTGCGGGCACAAAAGAGAACCTGAGAATATTATGTATTGTTTATGTTTAAACTGTTTATTGATATGTTTAAGAGCTGATAAAAAGGCGCATGCCCAGGCTGTGAACATGGAGCTGCTGTGTGACCTTGAAGAATTTGTTTTGGATCCAGTGACAGTGACAGTAAATATTCTGTACAAAGAATATACAGTCATGTATATATATGTTCATTCCTAACACGGGATATTTATCATTAAAACACACTCACAGGACGTATTAAATTCTTTACACGCATCGCTTATCATCTTCGACAAATACACTGACATTGCTCGGAGCGGTTTAGGAAGTACAGTGAAGCCCCGTTAGTCCGGACCCCGATAATCCGGATGTCTCGCCTCCCGGACGATTTCAGCTTGTTACCAACCTATGCCTATTTATGTTTAGTTTTCAGCAGATGCGTGCTCCTTCCTGAACTGTAAACCAAAGACCCGGTGCGTTGTAAGACGTCGTGGTGACGCAGTGTGTTGAAGGTAAGATTTTTCATGCAAACCATAGCAATATTAAAATCTGAATGCCATAATATGAGAGTGAGTAAGTGAGTTAAGACTTGTACTCACATGTGAAGTATTTCAGCCATATTGTGACTAAACCAAACCATGTAATGATATTAGATAGAGATTGATTAAAAAATATTTCAACAAAAGACAGTACAACAACAAAAATGTCACAGATGGAGATTTTAAAACTAGCATTTAATATTTTAAAAGAAAACACTATTCAGGACAATATAATGTACAAACGAGCGGTAAACTGACATCAAGAGAAAGAATAAAACGACTTTGACAGTACTTACTTAAGAAATAACTGTGAACATTCACAGATCACACGGTCGACAGCATCCTTGAGATGAGATGTACAAGGCCATCTGATTGTCCAGAAGCAAGGAAGTTCGTGTGCTTCAACAAGACCTGCAAGTGTGTACCAGGGTACAGCTTCAACCCTGCCAGTAACAGCTGTGTCAGACGTAAGTCACTTTTGGAAAGGCAGGTTTTTTTAAACGCTTTTGTCTGTAGGGTCTCACGTAAATACAGACAGGATATTATCAGTTATAAGTCAAGCTGTATGACTATTACATATTAAAACTTATTACCTACGAGGGTGAAATATAAGGGTTCATAGTTTTCATACCATGTCCTAGGGCAAAATATCACTTTGTCATGGTGACATTACGTCAGGAACAATGCTATGACCTCACGTTTCTTCTATAACGTGGCGTTCTACATGCCGCGATAGCGGATAGTCAGCCTGTTTGAAAGTAGATTTGGGTTTATTTTTCTCAGTTTGACTGCTTCGGTATTGAATAGAACATTATATTCGTGCCCATATTATAATTATTATGTTTACTACACTTGTCGGGAAATATCAGGCACTCGTGTCGTAAACATGGTATAACATGTGCACTTATATAATATCCTCTATGTAATCTTAGCATTAAGTTGAATGTACACATATCACTTCATTAGTAGGTGAGTTATCGGATACCAGTGGTACACTAAAAACGAAAACAATGAAAATATATGAGAAAGCATTAAGCCAGAGAGTATGAATCCCCGTGTATTACAGTAGCATAATTTCTTTTTGTATAAACAGAGCACATGATTTCCCGCATATTTCAATGATATCGCATTCTCAACGAAGCCAGACATTATTAAACTTTAAAGGACTGTTTTCAAATGTGCGTTAGAATGAAGAAGTTTACTTGTCTTACATTTGATTTCATGCTAAGGAGCAGGGGTTGCCCGCTTTCTAAATCCGGGTACCTGGATGTGTTCGTATGGCAGAGAGAGAAGGGAAACCCAGACTGGGGTCTTGCAGTGAGAAACTGCGCATGACAACATGGATGTGGAAACAGGAATTTGCCTCAGCGGGATAGAAATGTTCTCGTGACACATATCAGACGAAATATTCATCCAGTATGCTACAGATTGAGTTTCGTATGTGTAAATGCTGCTACCTGACAATATAAACGTTGTTCATATATTTGATTTCTTTAAACATGTCGGTAGATGAGTTACCACAGTGATGGTTCAAAAGTCCATGTTACATAAGAATGACACACCCAGTGTTTCCATGAAATGAAAAGACGATTTCGTACTTTGGATAGATACATTGCTGTTCAAAGAAAGCTACTTTGTATCCAAACACACGGCACAGTAGATAATTAAAACTGTATTGAATGAGTGATTTAAAATTGTACTTCGCCACATAGCAATGAGAACAATGTAGCTATTTGTTTTAATACCTGTCTATAAAGGACAGTAAAATAGTTCGGTTGGTATCACAGTTTAGTTATGAAACAAACCATATCAGAAACAAGACAAACAATTTCTCGGTATATATACAGTGCTTATGCTTCCTGCATGATTCGTAAAAGGAGCCTCTTCAGTCACAAGTGGTTGTATGTAATGCTTACCAATACCAAAGGACAATAATGAATATCTAGGAATTAAAACACTGGTTCATGTTGATGTAGATTCCCAAGATGTAAGTAAAACCAATTTCTCGGTATATCATTCAGGCCAGAAGCAAACAAACAAGACCACCGATCATTGGGTGTTACTGTACTTCTGCTCCCTGCATGAACCCCAGCTGGACTCTCTTTATTTATTTATAATATTTTTGTATTATTATTTATTGATTAGCCACAAGCAAGCAAAACAAAACAAGACTACCTTACTGGGTAGTTACTGTGAGTTACTGCTTCCTGCTTCCTGCATGGACGGATTTACGCCATCACTTTCGTCACAAGGGGTTGTATGTAATGCTTAACAATATTAAAAGGCCAAATATATTATCTGGGAATTAAAGCACAGGTACAAGTGATGTATGACGTACAAATGATGTATAAGGTACAAGTGATGTATAAGGCATAAGTGATGTATGAGGTACCAGTGATGTATGATGTACAAGTGATGTATAAGGTACAAGTGATTGAAGTAATGTATAAGGTACAAGTGGTGTATCAGGTACAAGTGGTTAAAGTGATGTATAAGGTACAAGTGATGCATATGATACACGTGATTGAAGTGATGTATAAGGTACAAGTGATGTATGAGGTACAACTGATGTAACAGGTACAAGTGATGTGTGAGGTACACATGATTGAAGTGGTATATGAGGTACAAGTGATTGATATGATGTATAAGGTACAAGTGATATATAAGGCACACGTGATTAAAGTAATGCATAAGGTACAAGTGGTGTATCAGGTACAAGTGGTTAACATGATGTATAAGGTATAAGTGATGAATATGATACAAGTGATTGAAGTGATGTATGAGGTACAAGTGATGTTTGAGGTACAAATGATTGAAGTGATGCATGAGGTACAAGTGATTGATGTGATGTATAAGGCACAAGTGATGCATATGATACAAGTGATTGAAGTAGTGTATAAGGCACAAGTGATGTATAAGGTACAAGTGATGTATAAGGTACAAGTGATGTATAAGGCACAAGTAATACATAAGGTACAAGTGATGTATAAGGTACAAGTGATGTATGAGGTACAAGTGGTGTATGAGGTACAAGTGATCTATCAAGTACAAGTGATTGAAGTAATGTATAAGGTACAAGTGGTGTATCAGGTACAAGTGATATATAAGGCACAAGTGATGTATAAGGCACAAGTGACGTATGGGGTACAAGTGACGTATAGTTGAGTTGAGTTGGGCTTTACGTCACGTCGGCATTATTCCAGCCATATAGTGACGAGTTTGCATTAGTAAACATTGCAAGTACATACTCGGAATGAGTTTTATTTCAAAGACATATATTGATTACATTGTCATTTAAAAGCAGCGAAAGTCATAGCATCAAATTTAAAAGCAGGCAATTTGTTAGTCACATTTCATAGTTACAATTTATGGTTGTTACATTTCATAGTTACAATTTATGTTACAGATCAACTTCCCTCAGGTAGTTCACTATGAGATGAGCGCTCACGCGGGAGAAGAGATCTTTTAGGTTTGCTGCATCACAATGTTAGTCCCTTGCAGACGATAAGTCCACGCATTCAAGCAGAATATGCTTGATGGTGAAAACCTCATCGCAAGAGACACACATGGGGGGTCCTTCCCCATCCGTTTTCAGCAGATAGTCATGTGTAAATCGACTGTGGCCAATACGACATCGTCGTAAGATTACCTCATCACGTCTTGACTGACAACCCAAGTAGGTATAACCGATTGTTGGCTTCAATTCATGGAGTTTGTTTCTTCCTACTTGAGTGTCCCACCTTTTTTGCATCAGGTCCCGAGTATAGCTTTTGATAGTGGGTTTGAAGTCACTGTACGGGATTAGCAGTGGAGATAGGGGCTTGTAAAGAGCTGCTTTTGCTGCAGCATCGGCCTTGGTGTTACCTGCTATGCCGACGTGACCCGGCAACCAGCAGAGGACGATGTTACATTGGCCAGTAGAAAGGTCGTTGTAAAGTTCTAATATGTCCAGGATGATTGGGTGACTTGAAGTCACAGTTTGTAGTGCTTGAAGGCAGGATAATGGATCTGTAAAAACGATGAAGTTTTTGGAATGTTTTTGCTGTTGAATGTAGGTCAAAGCTGAGAAGATAGCTTTGGCTTCAGCGGTGAAAATGGAACTGTTGTCGGGGATCCTAGAGGAGACAGTCTTGGCTCCAATGACTGTAGCGCTGGCAACTTGGCCATCGTCCTTGGATCCGTCTGTGAAAATGGATCTGTGAGTGTTATACTTCGAACGTAACTGGATGTATTCCTGTTGGAACACCAAAGGATTTGTTTCAGACTTTTTGAGTTTGGTGAGGGTAAGATCGACCTGTGGTTTCACCATTTGCCATGGTGTTGATGGTGCATTGATGTTGAGATCAATTTTAGCTGCAGATATGTGTGGTTTGATCCTGATTCCAAGTGGTGGAACCAGGCTTGGCAGTTTAGGCAACACGTTTTCAAAGAGCGGGTTGAAAACACAATTGTATGCTGGATTGGACTCATTTGAACGTAATTAGTGATATAAGGCAGGGAGAGTTTAATGCGGCGTTGTTCAAGGGAAGGTTCATTGGCCTCCGCATATAGACTGTCTACCGGAGGATCCTAAAAGCTCCCAGGCAGAGCCTCAGCCCTTGGTGGTGGATAGAGTCTAATTTTTCTAAATTGCTTTAGCAGGCTGCATCGTAGACAATAATATAGTTTACCATTAAAGTAAACCATAATATAGTTTACTGCGAACTAATGATCTGTACAAGTGAAGGAGGGTGGTCTGATCCCCTCCCCACTCAGTATTTGAGACTACTTTTAGCAAGTCTAGAGCCTTCAAGCACTTTGTTTTCAAATATTTTATGTGTGGTAAGAATGTCAGGTGGCGGTCGAATATGAGTCCAAGGAATTTGGCCTCTTCTACTACCTTGATGGGAGTACCATCTAAAGATACGTCTGGATCCTTGTGTGGTTTGTATTTAAGACAAAAGTGAATACAATTTGTTTTAGATTTTGAAAACTTAAAACCATTTTCATTGGCCCATTTTTGGATTTTGTTAAGGCAGAGTTGTAGCTGCCTTTCTATTGTGTGCATGTTCTTACCACGACATTAAATATTGAAGTCATCCACGAAAAGGACCGTCAACGCAACTGTTCAGAACGTTAGTGAGGCTGTTAATTTTGATGCTAAAAAGTGTGACAGACAGGATGCTGCCCTGAGGGACGCCCTGATCTTGGTGGAAATAGTCAGACAGTGTGGAACCCACCCGAACTTGAAATTGTCTGTTATTTAAAAACTGAGATATGGATTGAGGTAGTCTACCCCTCCATTCAAACTCGTGTAAGTCTTTTAGGATACCATGTTTCCACGTTGTATCGTATGCTTTTTCTAAGTCGAAAAAGATAGATACTGTATGTTGTTTGTTGACTATGGAGTTTTTGATGAATGATTCCAGACGCACCAGATGGTCAATGTTACTTCGGTTTTTTCGGAAACCACATTGGTGGTCACTGAGGAGGTTATTGCTCTCCAAGTACCAGATTAATCGATTGTCGACCATGCGCTTCATGGTTTTGCAAACGCAGCTAGTTAGTGATATAGGACGGTACTTTGAGGGATCAGTATGATCGCGGCCGGGTTTTGGTATAGGGATGATAATGGCATTGTGCCACGAAGGGGGGAAGTGTCCGGATGTCCGGATGTCATCAAATATCTTTAGGAGTGTTTCCAAGCCTGTGTCGGGGAGGTGTTTCAGAAGCTGATAATGGATTTCATCAGCTCCTGCCGCAGTGTCGTGAGCCTGTCCTAGGGCAGTACATAATTCATGGAGGGAAAACGTTTCGTTGTAATCCTCCCCATTATCAGAGTTAAAATTGACTGGTTTCTTTTCTTGTTGGGTTTGGTATTTCTGGAACTGAGGGTTATAATTTGAGGAGGAGGAGTGGTTTGCCAAAGTTTCGCCAAGTTTGTTTGCAATTTCAGATTTATTTGTTAGGAGGGAGTCACCATCTTTCAGGTGGTGAACTCCTGATTTTGACCCTTTGCCCTTAATCTTTTGAATCATGTTCCACACCTTGGACATGGGTGTGCGGGAGTTGATTTTTGACACATATTTCCTCCATGACCGGCGTTTAGTTTGTTTGAAGGTACGTTTTGCCCTGGCATTTGTCATTTTAACAGCATTCAGGTTATGCACTGTAGGATGTTGTCGGAAATATTTTTCCGCCTTCTTCCTATTTTTCCTAGCTTGTTTGCAGTTTGTATCAAACCATGGTTTGCGTATGTGCGGGTTTGCAGAGGACTTTGGAATGGTTTTGTCTCCGATGGCATTTAGGACGTCTGAAAATAGTTCCATGGGGTCAGGGACATTCCTGGAGTTGTCCGGCTTAAGTTTTTCTGAACATGGGGTTTGGAATAAAGGCCAATTGGCCTTAGTAAAATTCCATCTTGTTGATCTTGGTTCATCTGTGGGGTTGATAGGTGTAAGAATTGTTGGGAAGTGGTCGCTTCCACAAAGGTCGTCATGGACCGACCATTCGAACTCATTTAAAAGATTAGAATCTGTAAGTGATAGATCGAGAGCAGAGTATGATCCAGTGGCAGGATGGAGGTAGGTGTTTGATCCATCGTTGAAGATGCATACATCATTATTGGAGAGAAACTCTTCAAGGACCTTTCCCTTACTATTTGTATCAGTACTCCCCCATAGGGGGTTATGGCCGTTGAAGTCGCCCATGATTATGCAGGGCTTCGGGAGTTGATCATATAAGTTCTAAAGATCTGATAGGCGGACAGTTGAGGTGGGAGGGAGATAGAGGGAACATAGTGTAAACCCTATGTTCAGAGTTATGCGGACAGCAACAGTTTGTAGGTTGGTGTTAAGTGGAACAGGGCTGTGGAGGATGCCCTGCCTTACCAGTATAGAAGTGCCTCCTGTAGCTTTTACGCGGGGAGAGAACAGGAGTGGTAGGAACTGTACCGACGGATGTCAAATTTATCAGTCCTTTTTAGGTAGGTTTCTTGGAGACAAAACGCGGATGGTTTGAAGTCTTGAATTAATAACTGTAATTCATTATAATTATTCTTTAGTCCTCTGCAATTCCATTGGATCATGTTTTGTGGATTCACGGCGCTTTCACTGGTGACATGTCACGTGAACGTGAGAAAGCGTTTGATGAACTCCTATTGGTGTCTGGTGGAGATGGAGTTACCTCCATATCCAGAGGGCCAAAGGAGTTATGGACCTCGATGGGGACCGCTGAGGGAGAGGTGGCCTTTGGTTTTGTGTTTGGCGGTTGTTCGAGTTGCTTAGTCTCTCTAGCCTCTTTTTTTCCCTTTTTCTGCCCGCAGTTTCTGTCTCTGGTTTTGGCATTTGCTCTGGTGTTTGTGATTCACAGGTTCAGACGGGAGACAGCAGAAGAGTAGGTGATGGTTGAAGGGGCTGTAGTTAAACTTGCAACCCTCTTCTTTGCTTCATGAAAGGAGATATTTTCTTTGTGCTTGATCTTTAGGATCTCGGATTCGCGTTTCCACACTGGGCAAAACTTGGAAGACGAGGAATTGTCAGTATCCATGTGTCTTCGTTTTGAACCGGGGTATTGGGAAGCCATGTCATTAGTAATGTGGTTCAGCATCCCCTCTCCCCACCCACCGTGGAGTGTCAACAAGGACGATTTTATATTGCAGCGGATCTCCAAGATGCAAAGACCAGGGATAAGGCGGTGTTATACTCCAGCGAATTTGACATGAAATGCTGTAGCTGCCTACCAGATTAAAGGTCAGGATGGTTCTGTCCATGACAATCAATTGGAGACGTACAGAAATCGGAGGTCAGCATCACCAGATTGGCCCATGAGCCACCGCCTTCTGTGCAGGGGTCTGCGAGGCTAATTTGTTTTGGTAGAATATTAGTTAACATTTTGAACATGGCTAAAAGTGTTATGTAATACCAAATTGTGTATAGACATTCCATGCATAGGGCAAGGCGTGACCAGCCGATTGGTAGAATCGGGCCTATTCTACCACCCGTCAAGGCAAAGTTAGGGTCGAAGTGGTGTTTATGATTATTGAACACTATTGCCGGTTCCGTCATCCTCAACGACTCCCTTCCTCTGCCGACACAGGGATGCAAGCCACAGCAAACGGGTTGCCCAATTTGGTCGCCTCTTACGACCAGCACCGGGGTGCTGTGGACCTATTCGACCCCGGGTCCACACGGGGAAGTGATGTATAAGGCACAAGTGATGTATAAAGTACAAGTGATGTATAAGGCAAAAGTGATGTATAAGGCACAAGTGATGTATAAGGGACAAGTGATGTATAAGGCACAAGTGATGTATAAGGGACAAGTGATGTATAAGGTACAAGTGATGTATAAGGTACAAGTAATGTATGAGGTACAAGTGATGTATGGGGTACAAGTGATGTATAAGGTGCAAATGATTGAAGTGATATATGAGGCACAAGTGATTGATGTGATGTATAAGGTACAAGTGATGTATGAGGTACAAGTGATGTATGAGGTACAAGTGATGTATAAGGCACAAGTGATATTTGAGGTACAATTGATGTATGAGGTATAAGATACACGTGATGTATGAGGTACAAGTGATGTATCGGGTACAAATGATTGAAGTGATCTATGAGGTACAAGTGATGTATAAGGTACAAGTGATGCATAAGTTACCAGTGATGTATGAGGTACAAATGATATATAGGGTACAAATGACGTATAAGGTACAGATGATTGAAGTGATGTATAAGGTACAAGTGATGTATAAGGCACAAGTGATGTATGAGGTACAAGTGATGTATAAGGTACTTGTGATGTATGAGGTACAAATGATTGAAGTGAAGTATGTGGTACAAGTGATTGGTGTGATGTATAAGGTACAAGTTATGTATGAGGTACAACTGATGTATAAGGTACAAGTGATGTATGAGGTACAAGTGATGTATGAGGTAACAAGTGATGTATAAGACACAAGTGATGTATAAGGTACAAGTGATGTATAAGGTACAAGTGACGTATGAGGTACAAGTGATGTATGAGGTGGAAATGATTGAAGTGGTGTATGAGGTACAACTGATTTATGTGATGTATAAGGTACAAGTGATGTATGAGGTACAAGTGATGTATATGGCCCAACTGATTGAAGTGATGTATGAGGTACAAGTGATGTATAAGGTACACGTGAAGAATAAGATACAAGTGATGTATAAGGTACAAGTGATGTATGGGAACAAGTGATGTATATGGTGCAAATGATTGAAGTGATGTGTGAGGTACAAGTGATTGATGTGATGTATAAGGTACAAGTGATGTATGAGGTACAAGTGATGTATAAGGTACAAGTGATATTTGAGGTACAATTGATGTATGAGGTATAAGATACACGTGATGTATGAGGTACAAGTGATGTATCGGGTACAAATGATTGAAGTGATCTATGAGGTACAAGTGATGTATAAGGTACAAGTGATGCATAAGTTACCAGTGATGTATGAGGTACAAATGATATATAGGGTACAAATGACGTATAAGGTACAGATGATTGAAGTGATGTATAAGGTACAAGTGATGTATAAGGCACAAGTGATGTATGAGGTACAAGTGATGTATAAGGTACAAGTGATATTTGAGGTACAATTGATGTATGAGGTATAAGATACACGTGATGTATGAGGTACAAGTGATGTATCGGGTACAAATGATTGAAGTGATCTATGAGGTACAAGTGATGTATAAGGTACAAGTGATGCATAAGTTACCAGTGATGTATGAGGTACAAATGATATATAGGGTACAAATGACGTATAAGGTACAGATGATTGAAGTGATGTATAAGGTACAAGTGATGTATAAGGCACAAGTGATGTATGAGGTACAAGTGATGTATAAGGTACTTGTGATGTATGAGGTACAAATGATTGAAGTGAAGTATGTGGTACAAGTGATTGGTGTGATGTATAAGGTACAAGTTATGTATGAGGTACAACTGATGTATAAGGTACAAGTGATGTATGAGGTACAAGTGATGTATGAGGTACAAGTGATGTATAAGACACAAGTGATGTATAAGGTACAAGTGATGTATAAGGTACAAGTGACGTATGAGGTACAAGTGATGTATGAGGTGCAAATGATTGAAGTGGTGTATGAGGTACAACTGATTTATGTGATGTATAAGGTACAAGTGATGTATGAGGTACAAGTGATGTATATGGCCCAACTGATTGAAGTGATGTATGAGGTACAAGTGATGTATAAGGTACACGTGAAGAATAAGATACAAGTGATGTATAAGGTACAAGTGATGTATGGGAACAAGTGATGTATATGGTGCAAATGATTGAAGTGATGTGTGAGGTACAAGTGATTGATGTGATGTATAAGGTACAAGTGATGTATGAGGTACAAGTGCATGAAGTGTACTGGAGGGCAAGAAATCATGAATTGATCTCATATCCGGTTTCCTCTGAGGGAGGATCTCTTGGAAACAGCCGAGGCGAATATCTCGGGGTCATGTACCTATCAAGTAGTCATGGAGAAGAAATAACATGATGTAGCTGAGCTGTTGTGAGGCCAATTCTTAAAACAAGTAGTGTTCTGGAATCTGCAGGACCTGAGCATTAAACTTCCTTGGAATAGACCCATATACAGTCAACAAAGCTGATCCTGTCCTTTTTGATAAAGCCAATGAATGTATTTACATCATTGAATTTTCTGTCCCTTTTGACACCAAAGTGAATGGCAAGATTTAGGAAAAGCATGGATTTCCTTCGTATGAATAACAGAAGCTGATCATTTTATGAAAAGCTACATGCTTCCTTGTGTTCTTTTTAACACAGGCAAATACATCATATGATAATAGCTTCTAAGTAATGGAGATGTCTTTGAATGACAGAGCGACATAAATCGTATACTTTGATAACACTAATTCCATGTGGTAATATACTGAGTCAAAAAAGAAACTTCACATTCTTTCTTCAGGGCACTATAAAATGAACAAAAGATGGTAAGATGGTTAAATTATTATTATTTCATTGCTGAGATCTGTGTGATGTACTCGATACACTGACAGTGCCATAATCAGTTCCATTAAGCTACACCGCAGTTCCAAAACATGGGTATACAGAATATCAAGTCACAAGAATAAAACATGCGAAATTTCTCAGTTCAATATCGTGTTTGGCCGCCCCGCCAAACACCGTGTCCTCATCGACTGCCTGATGCTTGTGAACACGTGGTTGGGGATTCTGCGCCATTGACTCTTGCAAGGCAGCGCCAAGTTCCTGCAAATTCTGAGGTTGGTTCCTAAGACCACGAAGCCTTCTTCCAAGTGCATGCCAAACGTGCTCTATTGGATTAAGGCCAGGGGACCTCGATGGCAAGTCCATGACGTTGATTCCAACGCTTTGAAGGAAATTTCGTGTCAACATCGCGGTATTCGGCCGAGCATTATCATGCTGGAACTGTAGACAGCCATGAAAGGAACGAGTTCAGAAAGCACCCCACACCATGCAACTTCCGCCCCCGAATCCTTCGACTTCCTGTACACAACATTAGGCACACCGTTTACGACGTCGTCTCCAGACCCTATGCCTGCCGTCCGCGAATCTGAGGGTAAACCTGGATTCATCGCTAAAGACGACTCGATTCCAGTCTCTCTGGGTCCATCGGAGGTGACGTTGGGCCCACAGCAGACGTTGACGTTGATGAAACGGCGTCAATATTGGCTCACGATATGGACGTCGAGAAAGGAGATTGGCAGCCCGCAACCGATTTCGAATGGTCTGTGAGGACAATCGACCTCTAAACATCTCAACCCTGGTTCGTGTAGCCGGCAGAAATCTGTCACGTAGGTGACGTAGGACGATTTGACGGTCTTCTGCTCGTGACGTCACACGTGGACGACCCGATCTCGGGGGATCAAAAGTGGTGCCAGTTTGTTGTAGACGACCTCGCAAGTCATACACAGTACGACGGCTGCATCACGTTGCTCTTGTGACGTCAATAACTGATCTTCCCACTTGCAACATGCCAACGGCACGTTCACGTTGCACATTTGACAATCGTGGCATTTCAAGTACCGTTAGAACTGTGGTTTAAAAGTGTTTCAATTCTTGAGGCCAATGCAAACACGTGCATATGAAGAAAACTTCGATGCGAAGATCACGTGATCGATTGCACGCGCAAAACCTGATTTGGCACGACGAATGGATGGTTTTGAGTGGGTTTTGCCATATTTTTCTAGAGTCGAAAGATAGGGATCCCATTTCGGATACATAGATTTATCATCAGAGAAAAATTATTCATTATTTTTCAAATTACATTTTGTGAAGTTTCTTTTTTGACTCATAAGTTTAATATTTAATGTGCTACTGAATGCAGACGTCAACATTTAGAGTGGTATTTTGCCAGTTGCATTAGCAGAACACGTTTACACTGCACAAGGGCCATTATAACTGACACTGAGGTATTTGTAATGAGCACACAAGAGAACGGTGATACACTCTGAGAAGACTTATCTGCTTCGATGGCAACGCTGTGGTGCAACTAATAAGAGACGTTCAAAACATTCTGAGACAGTACAACTTAAGCCTGGACTAATTCTACTGTTCATATGTACCGTTGCCATATACAATCGCCAGAACAGAAGTGGTGTGTGGTATTGGAATCATGCATTGTATCCAGAGACTCATTTTTGTGCTTTGCACAAAACATTTTGTTGACTTTACGTGCAATCTATCGCCCAAGGATTCAAGGCGGGGGTCTGTTCTGTTTCCAAAGAAAAACGAACATGTAATTTTCTCTGTCGTCAATAAAAAAAATAGATGTCATGTTTGTTTAAATAGAACAGGAATAGTAAATTCAAAGACATTTTACATTAGGTGCTTTAGGAACTGAAGAAAAATAAAACACTCACATACATACCATTACAAAGAAGAAGTATCTCTGCCCTGAAAAACAGTACCCTACATATAATTACCCCTATTAGGCCAGTCAAATTAGCAAAAAGGTCGGAAAAAATGATGAAGAAAGGAAACTTGGCAGATATGTTCTACAAACCTTCCTACATACTAAATAGTCCCCTAAAATCCCACTTGAGGTAAATCCATAGTTCACGTGCAAACATGGCTACCCTATGGAACCTTTTGCTAACCAAGAAGATCAATTGTGCTTGATAGAATATCACATAAGTACATAAATATTTGACGACTGAGGGTGAAGGTGTAGATGAGGGTGAGGTTGTAAATGAGACTGAGGGTGTAGATGAGGGTGAAGGTGTAGATGAGCGTGATGGTGTAGATGAGGGTAATGGTGTAGATGTGGGTGAGGTTGTAAATGAGGGTGAGGGTGTAGATGAGTGTGAAGGTGTAGATGAAGTTGAAGGTGTAGATGAGGGTGAAAGTGTAGATGAGGGTGAGGGTGTAGATGAGGTTGAGGATGTAGATGAGGGTGAAGGTGTAGATGAGGGTGAGTGTGTAGATGAGGGTGAGTGTGTAGATGAGGTTAAGAGTGTAGATGAGGGTGAAGGTGTAGATGAGGTTGAGGGTGAAGGTGTAGATGAGGATGAGGGCGATGGTGTAGATGAGGGTGAAGGTGTAGATGAAGGTGACGGTGTAGATGAGGGTGACGGTGTAGACGAGGGTGATGGTGTAGATGAGGGTGAGGCTGTAGATGAAGGTGAGGTTGTAGGTGAGGGTGAAGGTGTAGATGAGGTTGAGGGTGTAGATGAAGTTGAAGGTGTAGATGAGGGTGAAGGTGTAGATGAGGTTGAGGGTGTAGATTAGGGTGAAGGTGTAGATGAGGTTGAGGGTGTAGATGAGGGTGTAGATGAGGGTGAGGTTGTAGATGAGGGTGAGGGCGTAGATGATGGTGAAGGTGTAGATGAGGTTGAAGTGTAGATGAGGGTGAGGGTGTAGATGAGGTTGGGGGCGATGGTGTAGATGAGGGTGAAGGTGTAGATGAAGGTGACGGTGTAGATGAGGGTGACGGTGTAGACGAGGGTGATGGTGTAGATGAGGGTGAGGCTGTAGATGAAGGTGAGGTTGTAGGTGAGGTTGAAGGTGTAGATGAGATTGAGGGTGTAGATGAAGTTGAAGGTGTAGATGATGGTGAAGGTGTAGATGAGGTTGAGGGTGTAGATTAGGGTGAAGGTGTAGATGAGGTTGAGGGTGTAGATGAGAAGGTGTAGATGAGGGTGAAGGTGTAGATGAGGGTGAGGTTGTAGATGAGGGTGAGGGCGTAGATGATGGTGAAGGTGTAGATGAGGTTGAAGTGTAGATGAGGGTGAGGGTGTTGATGAGGTTGAAGGTGTAGATGAGGCTGAGGGTTAATATGAGATTGAGGGTGTAAATAGGGGTGAGTGTGCAGATGAAAATGACGGTGTAGATGATGTTGAAAGTTACATGCTGTTCTTAATGTTAATCTGATGTTTTTCGCAACATACCATGTACATATACTTTTCATCATTGGCTTGTGATATGCTAACAAAACCTTAACAGTGCACAACATAAAAGTACAAACTAAGAGTTATTTGAAAAGTTAATGAAAGTTAATGATGTCACCGCGCGTGGCATGTGGACTTTGTGCACAATGAACTAACTCACTTTGTGCATGCTTTTTGGCAACTCAAGTTGGTACCAGATATTTGCAGCCTTTCATTCAAGGACAGAGGAGTAAGCTTCTGCAAGATAATGCCCGTCCACATGTCGCTCGTGTTGTGACAGATTTCCTGAGTCAGCAGAACATTCCGGTAACCCCCTGGCCAGCGTTTCTCCGGGCCTGTCCCCTGTCGAGCACACTTGGGATGAAAGTGAACAACATTTACTTCAAGCCAAGCATCAGCCATTGATGTCAGCTGAATTGGGTCAAGCGTTGATTTTAGACATGGAACAACTTTCCCCAAGCTTTCCTCAATCGCTTAGTGTCGTCTGTGCGAACTGACTTTTTACACCGCATCTTTTCAGCCTCGTGTCGGGATGCCTAGTGTCATATCATACAGATTTCTGATATTATCATGTCAACAGATAAACAGTGATTAAGGAAAACACCACAAATCATTTTATTACCTTTTTGCATAACTAAAATGGCACAACATCAAATAATGTATAGTTACTTAATACCAGTAGTACCGAAATGTTGCTCAGTGCAATAATCAGGAAGTTGTTATCCATTAAGTCGTATGCTTTATTTTACTACAGTTTATCTTATTATACAAATACGTAAATACACAATGACCCCGTCACAAAGAACATGGAGCAGATATGAGCATCAGCTGGAAATGCTTGTTCCAAAGATTTGTGAAACAAAGCTACACATCATTAAAGAAATGAAAAGGAAACATGTCCTTCTCCCCTTTTTTAACATCCAGGTTCAATACAGACAAACTTTGTGGATAACAACTTCCCTTTTTCGTGACGGGGACGTTTTGACGGCGACGGTGACGGCGACGTTACCAAGCGGCACAAAAATCTGTATCAAAACGTCGCACCTATGAGTTGAGTTGAGTTGAGCTTTACGTCACATCGGCATTTTTCCAGCCATATAGTGACGAGAACAAGTTTGCATTAGTAAATATTGTAAGTACATACTCGGAATGAGTTTTATTTCAAAGACATTTATTTATTGCATTGTCATTCGAAAGCAGAAAAAATCATAGCATCAAATTTAAAGGCAGGCGGTTTGTTTCATTTCATAGTTACAATTTATGGTTGTTACATTTCACAGTTACAGTTTATGATACAGATTAACTTCCCTCAGGTAGTTCAGTATCAGATGGGCGCTCACGCGTGAGAACAGATCTTTTAGGTTTGTTGCATCATAATGTGAGTCCCTTGCAGGCGATAAGTCCACGCATTCAAGCAGAATATGCTTGATGGTGAACACCTCATCGCAAGAGACACACATGGGGGGTCCATCCCCATCCGTTTTCAGCAGATAGTCATGTGTAAATCGACTGTGGCCAATACGACATCGTCGTAAAAATACCTCATCGCGTCTTGACTGACAACCCAAGTAGGTATAACCGATTGTTGGCTTCAATTCATGGAGTTTGTTTCTTCCTACTTGAGTGTCCCACCTTTTTTGCATCAGGTCCCGAGTATAGCTTTTGATAGTGGGTTTGAAGTCACTGTACAGGATTAGCAGTGGAGATAGGGGCTTTTCGAGAGCTGCTTTTGCTGCAGCATCGGCCTTAGTGTTACCTGCTATGCCGACGTGACCCGGCAACCAGCAGAGGATGATGTCATATTGGCTAGTAGAAAGGTCGTTGTACAGTTCTAATATGTCCAGGATGATTGGGTGACTTGAAGTCACGTTTAGAAGTGCTTGAAGGCAGGATAATGAATCTGTAAATATGAAGAAGTTTTTGGACTGATTTTGCTGTTGAATGTAGGTCAAAGCTGAGAAGATAGCTTTGGCTTCAGCGGTGAAAATGGAACTGTTGTCGGGGATCCTAGAGGAGACAGTCTTGGCTCCAATGATTGTAGCGCTGGCAACTTGGCCATCGTCCTTGGATCCGTCTGTGAAAATGGATCTGTGAGTGTTATACTTAGAACGTAACTGGTTGTATTCCTGTTGGAACACCAAAGGATTTGTTTCAGACTTTTTGAGTTTGGTGAGTTTCACCATTTGCCATGGTGGTGAGGACAGAAGTCGGTATGGTGCAATGATGTCGAGATCAATTTTAGCTGCAGATATGTGGGGTTTGATCCTGATTCCAAGTGGTGGAACCAGGCTTGGCAGTTTAGGAAATAAGTTTTCATAGAGCGGGTTGTCGCACCTATGAAATATAGAGGTCGTTATCCATAAAGTTTGACTGTATTGCACTTCCCAACTTCTCAAATGACACTCTAAGAAGACATATAGGTTGCTATGAACAGTTTCTCACTGACAAGTTCCATCCTCGCACATCCACCATTCTGAGGAAAGAGAATACATCGAGATACCCGGATTTTGAAAGATCGCAAGATCCGAACTCGCTATGCTCGTATGTGACACAAGTAAATGTCTTTTCTGTAATGCACATTTTTGAACATTCTTTTGCAGTTGTATTTTTCGCTATTCTATTGTTGTGTCCTTTGATACCCAGTCCTTGGTACGTCGTGAATCCGTCACCATACGTTTTGCAACCTGAGGAATACAGTGTTCCGCCGTTCATATTGAGTTTAATATTGAAGAATAGATTACTGGATTTGTAAGAAAAGATATTGAATTTTCGAACATGTCGTATTTACTTGTTGCGTAATTTAATATAAGTTTAGATATTCTTCTAGTGCACAGTAATTAGCTGAACGTTTGACAGCATTCCACTTTAGGGTGGGAACCACACGTGTTCAGCAGATATACACCCCATACCAGCAAGTCACATTTCGCCTAGAAGCAATTTATGACTACGCCCAACAAGATGATACGAGCTAGAGATCTGTAAAATGCCTGTCCCTACTAAGTGAGAAAAATACCATTTAATACTAAAACTAGCTTTGCCTACGTTTATTGAGACAATACGTAACCACATATCAAACAACATACCGTGATTACTGCCAAAAACGTATCTGCATTTTCTGACTTCGATTTATACAACCTATATTTCCAAAACTGACTCACGTCTGACGCAGCTGTTATTGGAAGGGTTGAAGCTGTACCCTGGTACACACTTGCAGGTCTTGATGAAGCACTCAAACATTACTGGGCAGTCGGTGTTGATTGTGCATCTCATTTCAAGGGTGCTGCTGACGGTATGACCTGCGGGTGTTTTTAGAAAATCAAGGCTGCATTGCATATGAGCGATACAGGACACAGTTACACTCTCTCCGTTAACTACTTACATTGTGTGGAGCAATTTTCAGGTCTCGAGCTAAATGAATCAAAACATCCAAGTTTTCATTATCTGATCCCGTGTCTGTGTGCAAACTCACACTTAGTTTCATCGTCACCCTCATGATTAACTTTAATTTCCAAATCAGTTTCACTCAAATTCCATTCACACCCTCAACTTCTAAACATTTACTCCCACTTGCAACTTCACAACACCACCACAACTTTACCCATCAGCCATCTACACTAAATAAGTAGGCAATACTTTTTGCAGATGACTGTTTATTCACGATCGATCATAAATGATGGAGATCTGCAATGAGAATAAACACATCATGTATAACATGGATAATTAAATAACATATAATCCTCTATCCCTCCCCAAGTCATTGTCGGATCTTGACAAAGTTGTGGCAAGGACTGAAAGAAACAGTTCTGACTAGAACTCACGTTTGAGTTAAATGTAGCATAATGTCTTGAATTGTCCTCAAGTGATTGGGAAAAGTCTAAACGTTTGGAACAAACTGAAATAAAGAGAGAAACTGGCAATAAAACATTCAGGGCTTTCAATGGGTAGACTGTCCTTTGGCCCAGGGATTATTCTGATTCAACCACATGCACGTAATCAGACAGCCAGTTCGGCTTTTTCTTGGTGTGGGTAGAACGTCGTGGGTGGATCACACTTGTGTCTACTGTTAGGGTCGGTGAAGGATCGATGCTTGGTGACTCTTTCAGGACAGTGGGTTCTCTGATCACAGGACAGAGTGGACAGAATCTATCAGGTGAGGGTGGTGGGGATTGTGAGACATTAGGTGTAGCAGCTGGTCTGGTCGGCACTGGCTGTTGATGCGGAGTGCGCTGTTCGTCACCGGTAAAGACTGTTGTAGGTGTGGTCAAGTGTTCTGATGTTGACTGAGCCGGATGTGGACTAAGTATGGGGGGGGGTGGGGGTGGGGGTGGTGGGGGTGGTGGT